GGACAGAGACCCAGAGACAGGGGACAGAGACCCAGAGAGAGAGGGGGACAGAGACCCAGAGAGAGAGGGGAGTACAGAGACCCAGAGAGAGGGGGACAGAGACCCAGAGAGAGAGGGGGACAGAGACCCAGAGAGAGGGGGGGATAGAGATCCAGAGAGAGGGGGACAGAGAAGTGGGTCCCAGGAGAGCGGGAGTAGGGCTATGCCCCTCCCATACCAGCCAGGTCTTGGTGGGGGAGGACATGGCTCCGTGGGGCTCAAGAAGCCAGCCGTGGTAGGACAGAAGCAGCCTGAGGGCCATGTGCAGTGTGAAGATCAGGGTTCCCCACAAACAGGAGGCAAACAGTGCAGCTGCCAGGACCCCCTGGAGCCCGTGGTGCTGTCCGCCCCTGCAGGGAGAGAAACAGAGGCTGGGCCTAGGTCTCCTGGCCTCAGAATCTCCCTCCCTTCCAGCCCCCTCCAGCCCCTGCACTGATCTTTTGGCTGTCAGACAGAGAAACCCATTTTTGTCATTTTAGTAGGTGTGAGCTCTGTCACCCCCTCCAGCCCCCTCCCATTGTGGCAGCACCAAGCTTCCAAAGTCACTTTCCATGGAAACCGGTAGGTGCTTAATAAATGACAGCCATTATTTCTATTGAGGGGACACTTTTTCCTTCCAGCTATCACTACTCTAAGGCAATAGTTCTGAAACTGTGGCTCCTGGGAGCACCTCCTGGGAGCACCGCCTGGGAGCTTGTTGGAAATACGTATTTCTGGCCCCTTTGACACCTAACAAGCCAAAATCTCTCTGGGTGGGGTCCAGCAATCAGCGTTTTTTTTGGTTGTTGTTTGTTTTGTTTTGTTTTTGAGATGGAGTCTCACTCTGTCGCCCAGGCTGGAGTGCAGTGGCACGATCTTGGCTCACTGTAACCTCTGTCTCCTGGGTTCAAGCAATTCTCCTACCTCAGCCTCCCAGGTAGCTGGGATTACAGGTGTCTGCCACCATGCCCAGCTAATTTTTGTATTTTTAGTAGAGATGAGGTTTCACCACGTTGGCCAGGCTGGTCTCGAACTCCTGACCTTAGGTGATCCGTCCACCTTGGCCTCCCAAAGTGCTGGGATTACAGATGTCAGCCACCGTGCCTGGCCATAATCAGTGTTTTAACAACCCATCCAGGTGATACCAATGCCAGCTTAAATTTAGGAAAAGCTGGTCTAAAGCTACATTAAATCAGCACGTTTGTTTGCAAAGTTTGCAAATGTCACTTGGAGGACTTGGGTCAAATGAATTTCCCTCTATAGACTGAGTAAATCTAGCGTTCTGGGAATTTTTTTTGCGGGGGAGGGGTAGAGACGGGAGTCTCACTATGTTGCCCAGGCTGGTCTCAAACTCCTGAGCTCAAGCCTCCTGCCTCAGCCTTCCGAAGTGCTGGGATTACAAGTGTGAGCCGCTGTGCCCGGCATCCCTCTTGGAAATGTCTACATCTGGTCCCGGGTCTGTTCTTTGAAGCCATCTGCACCAAATGTGGACCTTCTTCCCCAGGAGGACTCATCAAAGAACTAGACCTGACATTTCACCTGTACCTGGTTTTCAAACCCTTCCTGAACATGACAATAACACAATAACAATAATGCAGCCACTCCCAAGAGAAACTCCTGGCACTCTACTGACTATGGGACAGGCAGGATTTTTTTTTTTTTTAAATTGAGACAGAGTCTCACTCTGTCGCCCAGGCTGGAGTGCAGTGGCATGATCTCACCTCACTGCAACTTCTGCCTCCGGGGTTCAAGCAATTCTCCTGCCTCAGCCTCCCGAGTAGGTGGGATTACAGGCGCCCGCTACCACGCTTGGCTCATTTTTGTATTTTTAGTAGAGACAGGGTTTCACCATGTTGGCCAGACTGGTCTCGAACTCCGACCTCAGGTGATCCGCCCACGTCTGCCTCCCAAAGTGCTGGGATTACAGGTGTGAGTCACCATACGCGGACGACAGGCAGGATTTTGATTAATTCTTCCAAGCACTCTACGAAGCAATTATTCATACCCTCATTTTACAGATGAAGGCCTTGACAATCAAGAATGGTGAGGTCTCGGCCGGG